CCTGTAAGGTTTATCAATAGTTTGTTTTCAATTGCTGAATTCCTCAGAGACAACCAACATTCCAAATGGGGGGAAATGAGTTCAAATAAATCTTTCAATACACAGTTCATCTAAAATGTAACTTTCACTTAATAAAAGGGTGGGGGAAGAAACTGAATCTTCACTCTTCTTAGTGCTGGTTTGAATGAACTTGTTCATTTTTAGACTGATTATTCTTTTAATGCTAATGTATTTTTTTCACTTGGCTGTTAAAAGAACAATGGATTAAACTCTTACTTCACTTTCTGTGTACCAAAGGTACAGTTAAAGCATAATTGCTCTGCAGAAGATGACTTTATCACTGAAGCCAAAGGGAGGATACTGTGAGGTTGGGACCAACTGTATATGAAGTCACTTATTTTATTTCAAGACATCTTACAGGATGAAATATTAACAACATGATATGAATATGTTCATTTAACTGGGTAAACTTCTAGGAACCTGACCTGGAAATCTTTGCACACATGTAATCACTGCTGTGTTAGAAGGAGAGTTATGCTAGGGAAAATGATAAATTAATAACTTTATGAATAAGCATATACCTATTTCTATCAAATATATTTATATATACATGTATATATACATATACATACTATATATATATATATATATATATATATATATATATATATATCTTCAAGATATCAGAAGTATTTCCAGACAATCCAGGCAATTACTGGTTTTTATCCTGTAATTTTGTCTCCTTGCCCAAAACAACTAATGGGACAAGATTTGAATGACCATTTATTTTAACAATCGGGACACCAGCGGGCACTTGTTTTAATTCTTTGGCTAAGAGTTCCACTAAATAACATTCTAATCATTCTCATATCTTTTCTGTAAACATTCAGTGGCACAAATGGCCTTTGGCTATTGGAAGAATAATTGCTGCTAATAATCATGAATGTGTATGGTAGGGCTATAGTATCACACACTTTGAAGTTGTGAGGGAGCTTAGAGGTCATCTAATTCAGGCTTCTCATTTTACAGATGGTGAAACTGAGACCCAGGGAGATGAAGTGATTTGCCCAAGGTCATAATAGGGTAAGCAAAACAACTAGAATTTGAACTCCAATTTTCTGACTCCAAATACCAACCCTCTTGCCCCTGTACTACACTGCTCTGTAGCTATATGTGTGCATGCATACACATACATATGTATACATATATGTATATATGTATACATATGTGTGCACATATATGTGACATGTGTATTCGCACATACATATATGATATCATGTGCACACACATACTATATACAATAAATGTGCACGGTGTGTGTGTGTATGTATGTGTTTGTGTGTGTGTGTGTGTACAAATAAGTACACAATGTGAAGAGATATCAGAACCAAGAAACAGAAATCTACCATATACACCAAGGGGGGAGATCTCCTTGATGCAGTGAACTTTCCCCCTACAAACAATGCTTTTTTCCCCTCTATTCTAAATATATATTCTAGAGAACTCTGTATATGGAGGAAGCATGTGAACAGCCCAAATGTCCACTTATGAGATGTGTTGAAGAAGTAGGTCATATTTTGGTCAGAAGGTTAGATGAGGTGACTCACATGGTTTCTCCCACCTCTTAATGTGACATACTTAAAAGACTGTTCAACTTGGAAGCAGCAAAGATCTACGTTCAAATCTAGTCTCTGACACTTACTACTTTTTTACATCAATTACTTACTTAAGTGACTGTGGCCAGTGACTTAAGTTCCTTCAGTTTCAGTACCTTATCTATCAGGTGGAGATAATGTTCTCTGTAATACCTACCTCACAATGCTGTTATAAAGATTAAATGAGATTGTTTCAAGAACACTTGGTAGGACTTAAAAGTGGTATAGAAATGTCAGCTATTATCATGATTCCATATACCATTCAATTTTTAGAACGCAGACACAGCATTAGTGGAAATAACCTTGGGATAAGCTTTTTCTAAATAACTTTTAGACTACTAGCTGTGTGACCCTGAGCAAGTTACTTAACTTCCATTTGCCTTAGTTTTCTCAACTGTAAAATGAAGATAATAATAACATTTACCTTACAGGGTTTCTGGGAGATAATACAAATGATATTTGTAAAGTACTTAGTAACAATGTCTGGCACATAGCAGGCACAGGCACTGTGTAAACGCTTACCCCCTTCACTTCCCTATCTGAGCTCTGAATTATACATATATGTGTGTGTGTCTGTGTGTGTGTGTGTATAAACTTGATAACACTTGGTAACCATCTTCCTGAAGACTTGCTTCTAGTTTTATTATCTACTGTTAACTACTCATGTGTCCTTGGCTGAGTTACCAAACCTTTCTAGATCTCATTTTCATCAACTATCAAATAAGTTAGATGAAATCCCCAATGTCCTTTCTAGCTTTAGCATCACATAATCTTTCTGAAGTCTCATGATCTTTAGTTTTTATTCTGATTGGGCCAGAACCTAAACTCATTGAAATAATAGCTATCACATAGTACTCAGGGAAAAAAAAAAAAAAAACTTGATAATTATATTAGAAGGGATAGCTAGGTGGAGCAGTAGATAGATCTCTGGACTTTGGAGTCAGGAGGACCTGAGTTCAAATCCAGCGTGAGACACTTGAAACGTACTAGCTGTGTGACCTGGGCAAGTCATTTAACCCCAATTATCTCACCAAAAAAATAATAATTATAATTATAATAATTATATTAGAACACCAGTCTAGTGTGAGATATTGCCACAGACACAAAAATCTGTCAACAGCTTCTAGCAGCTTCCTGCACTCGGCAAAAGAGGATTTGGGCTGGTAATGAATCTCTTTAACAGATGGACTTGTGTTGTTTCTTGGAACTTTGAAAGCAATAGTACAGCATGCCCACCACCAACTCTTCTTCATGAGTCATGAAAGCAGATGACAGTTTGCATCACCACTTAGGCACATTCATGCCCTCTAGAGCAGAGGAACTGATTCTCTTTGGATGACGTTCAATATTAGCAAAACAACTTCTCCTAGGCTCTTTCTCTGTGGCTCATAAATTCCTTTGGGAGACAGAGGAAGAAAGTTGAGGCTTTTCTTCTGCTATTCTGACCCCCACTATGTGTTCCTTCTGGTTTTTTTTTTCATAGTGAACAAAGAAAGCTGACTGGACCAGAGTATGATGGGATTAAAGAAAACCTTTGCAGAAGCATCAAAATAACTAAACCAAAAGCCCTTTAGGGAATCTGGGTCAATTTTTCAGATATTGACTTTGAATACCAGTACACTTCTCACATTTTAAATGAGAGCCTCTGAGTGGATTCAGTTGGGATGCACTTTACATGATAAATTGGGTACCAGATTTACTTTTTTTTTAAAAAAAAAATACAATTCTAATTTCTAGGGGAGAAATGGGAGATGATGGTCTCTCTCAGGTTTCTTCCACCATCATATCTCTATATTCAGACATATCCCCACCTCATCCTTTTCCCCCCACTGCAAATAGATTCTACGTTTGATCAAAAATGCTATACCCCTAAAGAACTCACCTTTTACTTTGCCTGAGAAATGAGGATAGCATTAAGATTAACAGGAAGAAAAGATGGAGGGGAGACAGAGACTAAGTCCAAGAAAAAGTCTTTTTGGATTACTAAGAGAAGGTGCTGCTTTACTGCTTAATATATGGTTTTTATTTACTTAGCTAAGTCCAGTTGAATACCCCTGCAGGCAGAAAGTGTTTGCTTTTGAGCTTTGTACCTCTAGCACCTAGGACAGTGCTAATAAATGTTTATTGATTTAATTTGAATTCAATTGAATTGGTTTAGATCAGAGGTGTCAAACATGCAGCAAAGGGTCCACAATACTCTCAGGTGCTGCTGAGCCAGATAAAAATGTAATTGGGAAATATTTAACAAAATAAATTTTAAAATACCATAAAACATAGATATCACATTTTACAACTAACTCAACATGTAGCCTGCAGAGATCCTTATGCATGGATTAGTGGCCTTTTTTTTTTCTATTTGTAATCGACACTACTGTTTTGGATGACTGGAGAGAGTGTGATCTATTGAGCTAATAAAAATAATTCTTGGCAACCATCTTCCAATCTAGTTTTAACTAGGATCCAGGACCATTCAGCCAGCTCTGTGTAGGATTACAAATTTAGATGGGGCAGTATGGTACAGTGAAAAGAGCACCAGATTTTAAATAAGAGGAAATAGGTTCAAAGTTCATTTTTGTCACTTATTATTCAAGTGACATTAAGGAAGTCATTTAATATCTCTGTGCCTCAGTTTCTTCATCTGTAAAATGAAAGAGTTGGACTAAATAACTTCTAAGGTACCGTCCTAGCTCTGAATCTATGGTCCTATTAATTTCTAATTGCCTACATATTGAGGTGCAGTCATTCATTTTAGTGTTGGGGAAATCTCAGCTGAGCCTGTGGGATTTGATTGGGTCAAAACACAATCTTCATTTGGTTGACAAAGATTAAATAGAAATCCAGAGGATTATGTTCACATTCAAGGCAGAGAATCAGATGGCTTAATTCATTTCACACTATTTTCCTGAGTTAATAGATGTTTTCAGCACTGACAGAGGCCAAGGAAGACACCCTTATAGCTTGTGTCACCTATTATTTAGCCTTTGAAAAAGCAGGATACAGAGAAATTGCAACCGATGGTATGAGATGTCTAATTGAATGGACCAAGGATTACAAACTGGCTGTTGGTGACCAATTGAGTTCACAGAGTAGAGCAAGGTCAGTCCACTTCTGTTCCTTTCAGAGCAGAAAATGTAAAGCAATTTTCCAAAGAAAGGAATCCCTGTAGGTAACCAAGTATTTCCTTCTTTGCTCAGTAAGAGGGTTCCTTGCCCTCTGACCCTCTTTCCCTAAAGCTTCATCAAATGAACCATGGGACCCTTAGAAAGCAGGGGTGCCTGGAACACTAGCAGGCCCTATGATAGAGGATGTCATAGTTAATCCTTTGAAGATGGTGTACACACCTGCTGCTTTGTGAGAAATAAACCAGGACAGGAGCACATTTCTGGAGTGGTTTTGACTCAACGAAACTTCTGGCCCTTCCTTAGAATCCGACCAACACTAGGATTCATCACAACTAGTGCTATAACGTGGAGCCAGAGTGTTATTTTGTGTGTGGAATAATCAAAAATTGTCATCAGGCACAGCAGAAACCTCCTCTTTCTACTTCTCCATTCGGAACTTGAAGAGTTTTACACGTTTGCCTAAGGAATAAACACATGTCAGGTACTCTACTGTTCAAATGTTATTTACACATAACAAATCTTGAGGAAAGGGGACATTTTTACTTTAGAGAAACAAGTGTAAAGTGACAAAGTATTTCTTTTTTTATCAGCAAAAATAATGTCTTTTACCCCACCTACCCCATAAAAGTGCATCATGGGAAACCCTTTATATACTTCAGAGCAAAATGGTCAATTGAATTTTTGTTGATCTGAAGACATTACTTTAATATCTGCAAAGCCTAAATATATACCCGCAGACATTGGTTAAAACATAACGATTTTGATAACATTTGGTACAAGAATAACAATGACCCTTACTTGGAGTTGGTGAGAAAAAAGTTAAGAATCATAAAAAAGAATATAGTACAGAATATAAATACCATTAATTCTAAGACATTCTAAGAGGGGACATGGCACTTAACATATATGGTAGAAGGGTGGCATCATATAGATATTGATAGGCAGCCCATTCACAGTTTCCTAAAGCACCTCAGAGATATCAAAATACCATTGATTCAAGTTTCATAGAATTAAGCAGCTCCTAAGAAATACTAGGTGATTGTATAAATCAGGTTGCACTTGTGTGGACTGTGTAAATTAAGTAATATAAAGGAAGTTTTGCTACACAAAATTGAAGATAAAAGATGATTAAAAATTTTAGTAATTGAAAGTCTAATAAATATTTATTACTGGAAGAATTTCTTCCCTCCTTTTTAGATATTTTGCACTGGATCTTATATTTAGAGGTGGAAAGGACCTTAGAAAACTAGTCCAACCCCCTCATTTAACAGGTAAAGAATCTGAGGTCTTGAGAGTGTCAGGATCACCTAGGTAACCCAAGGTCACCTAGGTAGTAAATGACAGAGTAGGATTTGAATCAAAGTCCTCTGACTTCAAATCCTATATTGTTCCATCTTTCCTCTATTGATGCGGAAATGAATGAATATGACAGCAATGTGGCTGAAGCAAAAATATCATGGCACAGCAGATTCTATTATTTCTATTTACTACAGGTAGTCTACTTCATGTATGTGGTTGTTCCAAACCAAGTTCATTGATGAACTAATTATTAAGATGGCTTACATGGTTACTTCCATATTTGCACCATTTAGCTGGAAATATATTGATTTTTAAACCTGAGAATGAAGCTCAAGAATCTGATGGATTTTAGAATAAAATAAAATAATAGGACAGCTGAAGAAATGCAACATTTATCTATCATCCATATCTCTATTCTCTACCTACTCGCTTATACTATCATTTATATAGTTTGTTAAAGTTTGCAAAAGCACTTTACAAATCTTATCTCATTTTATCCTTACAACAAGCCTGTGGAATAAAGTGCTATTATTATCCCCATTTTACAGATAAGGAAACTGAGACAGATATAACTTAAGTGACCGGGCCAGGATTACTCAGCTAGTAAGTGTCTAAGGCCATATTTAAACTCTGATCTTCCAGATTCCAGACCCAACACTCTGTGCACCCTGGCACCACCTAGCTCCAAAGTCACACCTCTTTCATGAAACCTTCCCTGATCCTCCAGTTGCTAGTACCTTTACCCCTTCTTCATTGCATGGGTTAGGCGCACAGCACCCCCACAGTCTGGAAAATCCACATAAAATTTGTTGGCCCTCTCTTTGTACCAGAAAAGAAGTCAATTATTATGGTATTAAAAGATAAAATATATTGATATTATATAATACTATACATATATTTTACGCATTTCTGAGTTTTAAACTTTTTCTGTGTTGTCTGCTGGCCATCACGTGTCATCTGCAGCCATTTAATTTCTTATGCTGACCCACAATATATCAAAACCATGATGGGGAAAGTCGTGATGTAGGAAGGATAACTGCACTCTCATCCTCATCAAATAATGTTGCACCAACTTATCTTGCAGAAAATCTTCCCAAGAAAAATGTCCTTTGAACTCAGATACACTTTTTTGCCATGTAAAGGAATAATCATAGGATCATAAGTTCACAGATTTAGAAATGAAAGAATGTTAAAGGTCATCTAGTCTAATCTACTCATTTTACAGTTGATTTGTTCCATACTCCTATTTCTTGGGTGAAAGATGGAAGACTGACAAGTGTCTGGGGAGGGAAGAAGAATAGAAGGGAAAAAAATAGATAGTGTATGGACTCACCCTGAACAAGTAAGGGAAACAACTAGCTGACCTAACAGGTCACTTCCTCCATATTTAATTTATTTGATTATTCCCATGATTCTCTGGTTTCAAAATTTGACATTATGGATTTGCATGGGTCTTGACATTCAGATTCACATTTGAGCCTCTGATATTCAAATTTATTCACATTTGGAAATGGCCTGATTTTTTCAAATAAGATAAATTCATGAAAATAATAAAAGGAGAAGATAATGCTGCAGTGTGATGCTTTAATTAGTATTAGGCTAGCCCCTTGGGATGTAAGAAATGCCCAAATGCATAGATCAGAGTTGATCTTGGCATATATATTACAGCTAACATTTCAGTTAGAAATTAGCTTAATTTTTTTAATGTGCTCCTACCCTCCAGGAAGGGTTTTGACTGACTGGAATATTTAGTAGAGACAACTGTCCTGCTCCTGTTCGATATGATTTCTCAAGGCAGCTGAGATGTCCCAAACTAAACTTGCTGCAATGAAATGTAACTGACAAATATAGTTAAGGTTGGTACAACTCAAAAATGAGAGCACCCCCATCCTCATGCTGAATATCTGAATATTTCGAGTTATGAATTCTCTCTCTCTCTCTCTCTCTCTCTCTCTCTCTCTCTCTCTCTCTCTCTCTCTCTCTCTCTCCCCCCCCTCTCCCTGTCTCTCTCTCTCTGTCTGTCTGTGTTTGTCTGTTGGTCTCTTTCCCTCTGTGTCTCTCTGTACCTCTGTCTCTGTGCCTCTCTCTCTGCTTCTCTGTGTCTCTCTCTGTGTCTCTCTGTTTGTCTGTCTGTCTCTCTCTCTCTGTCTCCTTCCCCCCAAAGACTGATGCTATACACAGCAAAATGTAATCCCAATTTTGCATACGTAAGTCCTTGTCTTTGATGCTCTACACTCTTGTTTCTAGAACATTATACTGTCTTGGCTCTCCTCTTCTTCCTCCAACTTTGTAAATTATAAAGAAGATCTCAAGGTTCTAGGCTCTGATCTCTTAGTATGCCCATATGTGTATATGTATGTATATACATATATAGTATATGTATATGTGTATTTATGTGTGTGTACACATGTATGTATATGTATGCGTGCATGGGTGTATGTATGTATGTATGTATATAGCTGACATCGCTAGATGTCCCAGTGAATAGAGCACTGTGCCTGGAGCCTGAAAGACCTGAGTTCAAATCCAGATTCAGACATTTATTAGCTGTGTGACCCTGGGCAAGTCACTTAACCTCTCTTTTACTAAGTTTCCACAATCAGCTGTAAAACAAGGACAATAACAATAACTACCCTGCAGGGTTGTTGTAAGAGCAAATGAGAAAATATTTGTACAACACTTAGCACAATGCCTGGAATATAGTAGGTGCAATGCTTATTCCCTTCCTTTCCGAGTCTTTAATTTTATAGATGTTGAAACTGAGGCCCAAAGAGATTAAATGACTTATCTTAAGGCAAACAGGTGTTAAGTACCAGAAATGGGAGTGGAATATGCTTAAAGTTTAAATACTTACTCTTTTATAAACTAGGAACTTATTTCCATTTTTCTTTGAAATAATATTCCTCATGTAGGTAACATCTTTCATGTATAAAGTTCAAATACTACTAAAGTGTTAAAGGCTATGAAGATTACAGTATATGGCCATAATAAAAAGGATACATTTATCTCCTAGGTATACTGTATACCTAAAGATGTATGTATATATAATATACTATTTTCAAAATACATTTGATTCATTTACTATTTAACTGGGAATCATTTTCACTGCTAATTAATTGCTGAATTATGTAAACATTATCTGCCTCACTGTTTACTTTGTGTCCATTTAGTTTAATGGAATAAAAGATAAAGGGGATGAGAATAAGCATTTATATAGTGCCTACTATGTGCCAGGTACTGTGCTAAAAGTTTTTTACACATGTTATCTCATTTGATCCTCACCTGTGAGGTAAGTGCTGTTAATTATCCCCATTTTACAGTTGAGGAAACTGAGGCACACGGAGGTTAAAATGACTTGCCAAGGGTCACCCAGCTAGTATGTGTCTGAGGCCATATTTGAACTCAGGGTTTCCTGACTCCAGGCCCAGCGCTCCTTCTACTTCCTCTACTGAGAATAATTAATATTCAAAACGTATTACACATCTTAAATAAATTTTAATGAGTTAGTTTAGATAATGAAGCTTTTTCTTAATTTCAATTTAGGTTTTTTATGTCCTTAAATCACCCTAAATGACAGTCCAAAGAATAGCTGACTTTGCCATATATAGTGTATGACATTTAAAAGAGAAAAAATAATTAGTACTGTTAATTAGCACAAAATATTAATTTTTTAAAATGCTAGAAGTTTTGAGGGGGGATGGAGAATGAAAATAATCTAATCAAATTTAAATCTGTGGCCCCAATTCTTTACATAAAATAATCTAGATTTTAAAATTAAATTTAATTTAAAATTTAATTAAATTTAAAATTAAAAAATAAAGATTTTAAAATCAATTTTAAATCGTGCATCCAATTCAACAGGCACATGCTAAGTCTCCATAGCTAGGACCCAGTTAGTGCAAATGACAGATCCCATGAAGGGGCCCCATGTATTCAACTTTATACTATTTGAAGTTATAATTATATAAAATATGGTAATTGGTTCTAGCCAACAGTAAATACGTTGTGTAAGTTCAAACAGTATCATCATTTCACGGCATTCCTTATTCACAGTAATCATGACCTAACTGTACTATACAGATAACATTGAACTAAAGGGGGAAAAAATACTAACCAGCCCTTGCCTTGAAGTGCTAAATTTATTTAGTTGGTTTTAATAA